AATTGCTGCAACAGGTTTTGTTCTTATTAGCTATATTTATTTGTTTACGTCCATGCGACGGTGTGTCGTCGGAATGTAGTGCAGTGTCTTGCATTCGCGCCGTCGAAACTCTATTTCTTTTGCGAGTTGCCACCTTCCGGTAGCGATTGATTCAGTAAATCGAGTCCTATTTGACCATGAATAATTTTTAGTTCGTATCCTATTACCTGCGTTTTCTTCTTAAAATCTCGTTAATTTGGCATGATATCTTTGTTAATCCTATAAAAAGTAGCGATTTCTGTTAATAATAACACATTTTTGTTTGTATCACCCTGAATAATATTTTTCTCAAATATAGAACAGCAAAAATATTAATTATGTGCATCTACAGTGTTATCCTTGTGCTACCCGCTACCCTTGTACGGCGACCTGAATGCACTGTGTTCCGCTATGAGAGAATTGCAATTAGCAGGTGCCATTGACATTTTGTTAGGCGCGCTTGTAGTGCCAAAGTTAGTAATGCAGGCAAGTCATAGTAAAATAGACGTATAACTTTCTGTGTTGGTAAACAGCTTTTTTTGTCGCGTTCAGCGAGCGTATCACTCTGCGTATCGCAGCGACCGCGTGTTGCCGTCCATACCTGTGTGCAGTTCCATTCCGTTCACCATGTGAATCGCGCGTGTTCATTACGACTAGTTTTGATTCTTTATATTAAAACTAAGTAAATTGATTTATATTGAATAAACAATCGACGGCATATATCGGGGTCGGACGTGAGCGTAGTTTTGCTAGTGTATTTGTGCGTTAAACGTTAAATTGGGGAGTAATCGTCAGTTCACCTGTGCGCGTGTGAGGTTCCGTCGGACGTCGGAGATTGTACTTCGCTTGTGGAATTACATTGATCTCATTTTAGGAATAGAACTTCTTGGTTCTCACTTTGCAACTATATGAGCTAACTTGTAAGTTAAATTAATCTGTAAATTTTTACCTTCAACACGGGTTGAGTCCAAGTTTTCTCGAAGAAAACATAATAATCATCGCGCAAATCTTTGTTTTCATTACGCGTAACACTCAGGACCGGTCGCTACAATCTTATATCATTAATTCGCTAAGACTATGTGTAATTCATCTTCAAATTGTGCATTTATTGATATCTAGCATGTATGGTACGCGATTTAATGTTTACCTGCAATCCGTCGGCCGTCGGCTGCCTCTTACTGCACTTCTCACAATTAAAAATAAATGATAATAAAATTGCAATAAAAATGTATATTTAAATGTATTTCTTTTAATTGTGTGTCATCTCCTTGATATAGTTTTCAATGTTTTCATAGTATTGTCTTCTGTAGTGTTTGTGAGTTTTGATTCTTTTCCTTCTTGTACTTGGGATTTTCTCAAATGATAGTGGTTTTCTTTCTCTAGCACCCTGTACTGTCTTTTTCGGTGAGTGTATGTACTTTTTGGTTGTTTTTAATTTGAACTCGCAATTTTCTTTTTGAGACACCCTGTATCTTAATTTATATCCGTTCAAAAAATGAGCTGTATTTGTCATTTTGTAATATATCCCTGCTTGAATTGTGAATCATCTTTTTGCAACACCCTGTATTTTAGTTTTCTTTTATGGCATGTAGAAAATTAATAATATATGTAATGTTTGTAAGTTTTCTCTCCTAAACTTTTGCATATATTTTAAAATGCCGTTGTTTTGTTTTTGTAACACCCTGTACAATAGTTTTACTTCTCATCTCTGAAAATTTAGCTTGACTGTTGTTATTAGAGTTTAACTTTTTGCATTTTAAATTTTCTTTTCTTAACACCCTGTATATTAGTTTTCCAGGCATTCGGAGAAAAATCAGCGATATTTGTTGTGCTTAAATGATTTTCTGTTTCCATTTTAAATTTTTCTTTTGTAACAACCTGTATATTTGTTTCCACTGACGTAGAAAATGGGCTATTTGCTAATTTGCTTATCCCACTTACTTTATGAAGTGGTACTTGCTACATTTTACCTGGCGTTCGATGTGCGCGGCTAAGAGAGTCGTAAGTCCTGTTCCAATATGGCGGCATGAATTCTGTTGACTTGTAAAATCTAAACTTGTATTCTATTGTTTAATAAAGAAATAGTAAGATATATTGACTACTTTGGTTTGTGTGTACCCCTTCTATGATTACAGGAACAGTTCCCTCTCTCAGGGGATGATCCCCACCTCACAAACTTCTTCTGGGCACCAACGTTGTTTATCTGCAGCAAATAATTATAAATCAAAGTTTCTCCTATTGTGTTCATCGACACGCGGTGCACATGTAGACCAACACGACTTATATTCAGCGACGGCCGACGGAACATCACACGCGCACCGGTAAACCGACGATTAATTCGCGATTGTTGTACATTCAACGCGTGCAATTACGCAGTAAAACTACACAGTAGTAACTAGTAATACAGGCGATAGTCGATGAAACACAACACGATTACCGAATTAAACACTAGAAAAAAACACGAGGAATGACTAGTAAACATTCACAAAAATAAAACGCGTGCACTTAATACGAGAGCGCAAGGTGAACTAAGCATAACTCGAATAACAACAATCATTCTGACCCCCCGCGTCATATCGCTCTGTGCTAGGGCTTCACACGAGACGAGACTGGACGATACTATCAAAGGTATCGTCTCGGTCTCGGTATCGTCTCGCAAAAGCGATACGAGACCGAGACGATACGAGAAAAGTCTCGGTATCGTGTGAAGCTTTAAGTAGAACTCAGTTTTAGATCTTTGCAGTTCAAAAGTTTAGTCATTTAATTGCTAATTGCATGTATTGTAAAGTAAATCCAAAATACATACATAGTTTAAATATTAATTTTAATTGCATCACTTTTTAATTGAAAATATATTTTTTAATGTTTCAAATTTTAAAACGATAATGTATACTAGTACAATAGTCGAGTTGGATTTGTGTTGGAAAGTAAGCGGCGCACGTCTACAATTCCTAACTTACCCAGATGTATACAATATCTTTGCTTCAAGAAGTACAGAAAAAACACAAAAATATGTTCCGGATGTGTAAACAAAGACAAAATTTTCATAAACTTTCAAAAAGTCAAAAAAGGTCATGATATTCGGTTACTGACTTGTTATTTTGAATATACAAAAGAAATATTTCACAGATGGTCATATATTGATTTCATATATTGACCTTTTCCCATTTTTCTAATAACAACTTCATAAAAAGTAACGAGACCAATAACGAGACCAAAACGAGACTCGACTGTGGCATCGGTATCGAGAAATTATTAAACACGTCTCAGCCCGGTATCGTCTCGCTTTTTCCGAGGTCGAGACTGAGACGATACGAGAAAGTCCTTGCATCGCGTGAAGCCCTACTCTGTGCCGAGGTTGCTGGCCCGTGGCGTCACATAATAAAACATACCAAATGAATTCCAATATGAATAACCTTCTTTATTGTTCGTTTAAAGTTTAAACAATTCTCCTCCTCAACCATATTATAAAATTTCAATACAGTAATATAATACATAAATTTCAATACAGGGAGATACAGATTTAAATTCCGCATCTAATAAAGTTATTCCCGACTTAGAATTAGACCGCGTTTGCGTGTTATAACAAAAAAACTACAATTCCTAGCGCAACGAGTACAAGTGCGTATACACACAACTATCAATATAACTCGCGTAAAAAAATTTTCCTGCAATAAATTTCAATACAGCGAGATACAGAATTAAATTCCGCATCTAATAAAGTTATTCCCGACTTAGAATTAGACCGCGTTCGCGTGTTATAACAAAAAAACTACAATTCCTAGCGCAACGAGTACAAGTGCGTATACACACAAGTATCAATATAACTCGCGTAAAAAAATTTTCCTGCAATAAATTTCAATACAGGGAGATACACATTTAAATTCCGCATCTAATAAAATTATTCCCGACTTAAAATTAGACCGCGTTCGCGTGTTATAGCAAAAAAACTACAATTCCTAGCACAGCGAGTACAAGTGCGTATACACACAACTATCAATATAACTCACGTAAAAAAATTTTCCTGCGATAAATTTCAATACAGCGAGATACAGAATTAAATTCCGCATCTAATAAAGTTATTCCCGACTTAGAATTAGACCGCGTTCGCGTGTTATAACAAAAAAACTACAATTCCTAGCGCAACGAGTACAAGTCTTAAAAAGTCAAAATCTTAAAAATCTAATAGTACAATATTTCACTTAACTTTGAAGAAGGAAGGTGACACATGGAATTAAAAAACAAAGTTAAAATACAATCACACATACTTAAACGTGTACTCTGCAACAACAACAACGAGGAGAGTACAAGATTTGAACGCCAAAACTTGTTTACGCACATTGATAAGCGCGTGCAGACAAAAACGATAACAATTATATTGTGTGAACTGACTAATTTCACGATGTTGAAATCTTCTCGAATGCATACAAAAAAATTAATTAAATACTAAACTTACCAGTGGAACAATGGCGAACTACACTGATGTCCCCCGCAGTTTACTCGTACATCAAGCACATGCCGTAGATGCTGAATTGGATTTATGGATCAAATTCCATTTTCCAGAGATGTAACGCAGTGCACCTCGAATTTACAATACAAATACCGATAAACGCGTAGAGATGAAAGTAATTTCATAATTTCGATGGATGACAAAACAAAAGCAAACGAGGTTTGCAAGAGGATCGCGTGCAAATTCATGTCTTGCACCGTGCGTAGATGAACACAGACTGAAGCGATCAAACTTTAGTACATAGCCCGAACGCAGTATAAAACTGGTTCAACGCGATAACAACAACGTGTTTACAATCAAACAGTGTCACAAATTTAGGTGAGAACAATTCGCTTTCGTCAACTATAATATGCAAGAAATAAATCTCAAACTATTCTATAGGTACCGAAAGAATTTCAATTCTTACCATTTGACGAACCGCAATTCATCAACATGCAATAAAATAAATGTTACTAATAATTAATAATTTCAATAATGTTGTAAAGTTGTAATTGTAAAGTTCATTCTTATTTGTTGCAAATTTACAAAATAACTCTATGGAGTAATTCGTTTAGGATCGCGTGGGAACATGGAAGTTTTCCGAATGTTATCTAATCCCAAATACAACATGACAACACGTTCCAAACCTATACCGCCTCCAGCATGTGGCGGGCATCCGTACTTGAACGCATCAATATACGTTGCAATCTTCTCCAGATCGATGCCATGATGCTTCGCGCGTTCACTGAGGAATACCGGGTCGTGTATCCTCTGTGCACCACTAAGAATCTCTTCACCCCGCATAAACATATCGTACGAGTTGGAACTGAGGGGATTGTTCGGATCCGGCATCGTATAGAACGGCCTTACAGCAAGCGGATACTTGTCTAAGATGTAAAAATCAGTGTCGTATTTAGCTTTCACCAGACGACCCAAAAGTTTCTCCGCTGGAGTACTTAAGTCATCTTCGGGCCCAACCTCTACTCCAGCTTCAGCGAGCAGTTTTCGTCCATCCTCGAAGTTCAACACTAATGGTGGATCGAGAAAAGTGAATGGTTCTACAGCAAACTGCTGTCCAACAAGAGAAATCTCAGTTGCGTACTGATCACGTAAGCCTTTGAAGATTTCTGTAAACATGTTACCGATGGTAAGCATCACTTCGTGATAGTGGTACTGAAAAGCCATTTCGAGATCTAATCCCGTAAATTCAGTAAGATGTCGATGAGTGTTTGAATCTTCTGCGCGGAACACCGCACCTACTGTAAACACTCTTTTCAAAATCAGCAGCAATCGCCATCTGTTTATACAATTGTGGACTTTGTGCCAAGTACGCTGAACCTTTGAAATAACTAACAGTAAAAACATTAGCACCGCCCTCAGATGCAGCGCTGATAATTTTCGGAGTGTGAATCTCCGTGAAACCCTTCGCTGTTAATGCATCACGAAACAGCTTGCAGACGCCCGCTTCCAGTCGGAAAATACCTTGATTTGCCGGCGTTCGCAAATCCAAAATACGATTATCCAATCTTGTATCTTGATTCACTCGAATATTAAGTCCATCATCCTGGAAATAGTATGTGATAGTTTGGTTGCATACATTTTAAACAATAATTTACTTCAGTTTTTTCAGGCCTGCTGGCATCTTCAATTTGTAGAGGTAATTGTGGTGCAGCAATGGAAATAAACATTAATAAAACTCATCCAAACGAGTATTAATGTAAAAAATGTATCATTGTATTTAGTGGGAATAATATTTTATTCTTGTTTCGTGTTTATTATTGCAACCCTGAAATTAAGTCTTAATTAATTTTTGAGTTTTGAGGTAATTAACTCAACTACTAGTGTTTTACTTTCAGCATTCGTAATCTCCCCGACTTCCTTCACCACAAGAATTAATTCTTATCGCGTTAAGGCCACTGCGGGCGATTTGAAAGCATCAACGTCTTTAACAAGCCATCAAACTGCAGCCAAGGTTCATCATCGCTTATTGCGCATTGTTATAATTTTTCTCAAGACATACTCCATTCACCTCTGTGCATTCCGTCTTAATACGATTTTAAAGAAAGCCATGAGCAGATTTAATAGATACACGCGGTTTTAATTTCGCAAATGGCTAGTGGCCATTTATTAATTGTTGTAATCATAGTAATAACATTCTAATGAAAGTTTTTGCTAAAACAAAAAAATAATAAATATCGTTCGGATTAAAATTCATAATTTCAAAACATGAGTTCGCTCGTTTACTTCTTCAGCTGCTTTGTTGTTGCTTGTTACCGATGACCATCGTGGTGATCAACGCGAAATTGGTTCACGGTCGTTCTTCTGATGATCTTACTAATATTTTAAATGTTACAACTTAATTGGCTTTAAAAGTATAAGCATGAAAGTGGTAAAAATATTTGTTTTATAGAAAAGTTAAATTTTATTATTATAAGACTTATTTTATAAGAAAATTGTCGTTAAATATTTGCATTGCAATTTGTAGGAATCTTTAAAAAATATATTAGCTCATAATTGCTAAAAATGAAAATATTTTTCGTTGTTATTCAGATAAACTGAAACGTTACAACGAGGAAATTAATATATAGCTTTATACGAAGATTTATATGTTCAATTGAGTTGTAAAACGAGGCTACGCTGTATCTAGTTTAAAAGAAAACTAGTTATTTGTTTGATTATTACAATTTGTAAATATAATAAACCTGATGAAATACTCCCGATGCGTCCCAGTAATACCTTTTTGCGCATTGTTAAGCACGCACATTTCTTCATTTCCAAGCTCATTCTGCATCGTCGTTTGCATCAAAGTGACGAAATTTCATACGATCACAACAATGCTCAACTCGGGGCGACGATTCCGACAATTTGCTTCTAATTTCAATCTCGTGCATGCTGGTTTTTGCACGCGCGAGTAGCGCCAACAATGAATCTACACAAGAAGAGCGTCGTGGGGCTCTTCAGTGGGCTTTGTGCGCGGGTTATGAAAGATTGAGCAAGTCGAGCGCTTTATAATTAAATCTTAATCTACGAGACCGCCGAGCAAACAAACAACGCGGCCATAACTATACCATTAGACGTGATTGTCTGCGAAAACGAGAAAAACGAGCCAGCGCGCTAGATGCATGCAACTAGCGACTAGAAGGAATTAAATCTAATAGATGTTTGTTTTACAATATATATTGCAGACGACGACGGACGCACATTCATCTCGTTTGATCGTCGAAATGCGCTTCGATGATATAACCACCAACCAACAAATGAATACGTACGTAATAAGAATTTATCGCGTTTTTTTCTTGCTCCACATAAAAATAAAATCTAATAGCTCACAAAGATGACTAGATGTGTAGTACACAATCGCAAAATATGTATCTTTAAAGTTATTAACACAAAAAAACAACAATAACATGCCAACAGGACTTTTGAATCAGAAAATGTGAAAAAAATGTAAAAATGTGTACTTTATGTAATTACTATCACGGTTATACAACGTGGAGCGCGATTCGATCGCGCGCGCATTGCACTCGTGCTCGAATTTACATAAACTCTTCATTTCGTGTAAAATTTCGTTGTATACAAATTTTACACTCGAACGCACAGAACAATGAGCGCGCTCGTCTCCGGGCGCACGACGTAAACAAAAATCTGAAAGATTTCCAGCTGATAAATATCCTACATTTAACAACAATCGCCGATTATGTCTTGTGTACGCACACGGAACCAAAATGACACACAACCAGATGCCGGCGAGGATTCCCGGAGTAACGCACACATATATTTGATTTCTTTTATGTTTTCTGCCGAGTTAATTTGTTAAAAACCAATTCAACAGGCAATTAAAGCTTCAGCGAACAACTTGTCTAAATAATATAACAAATTCAAGTTAAACTCGTGGAAATAAAATAAAACAAAAGATTAATTAGCATTGAATTTCGGGAATTTCCGAACGCGTGTGTCTTCGCTTCTTACTCAATTACAATCAGCAACAAAGTGATACAAATGTTGCGGATGCGTGCAGAATGCACACAGGTTTTAGCTGTGTTATGCAATCACAATATTAACATTATGTTAATGTGATCTCTTTTTTTTGAGATTTTCGGCAGTAAAATACGTTTTTTGAATTGAGATCGCATCGCATGATAAGCGCGCACAAAATATCTCATTACGCAAAATGGCTTTTTATTGCATACCTACTTACTACAATTTTGTAACGAGCACAGTTGTGGTAATAAAATTAGCACACGTATGTGAAGAATCGTTTTCAATTTTTTTGGGTACATTTTATGCGTTTCTGAGGTAAAACCGGCAATACTCATATAATATGAGTCAAGTACGGTAATTAATTCCTTAAAAAATGTGCTAAATTTGAGTAAAAAATGTCAATTATCATTTGGTTTCAGCTTCAGGCATTGGTAGATTAGAAATTATTGTTAAACTAGCTGTTGCCCGCGACTTCGTTCCGGCAGTGTTTAATAAAAATGTAATTCGTTTTTACTCTCTTGTTCTAGACATACTCGTAGTAAGAGTCAATTCTATCAATAAGATTAGCAATTTTAATTTAAAGAAATTATGCATATAAAGTTTTGTCAATAATGCACTTCAGCGCGCCATCTCGAATTCAACTATTTAACTATAACTACGATTGAATCTCAATGTCAAATTTTATTCTATAGAAAAGAGCTGTTTTGAGGATTTTCCCGGCAATTATTCGAATTTTTCTCACCTTTTATACCTTCCCTAGAACTCCACGAATAATTCAAGACCAAGATAATATAAATCCGTTCAGCCGTTCTCGAGTTTTAGCGAGACTAACGAACAGCAATTCATTTTTATATATATAGATTACTAGTTTTTGCCCAAGGCTTTGCTTACGTTGATAATTTCTTTATTGCTTGAATTCTAATCACTTGTTTTTAAAATCTGTAATATTTTAATTAGGCCTTTTCATCATATTTTTTTGCATGCGTTCATTTATCTTTTTCGTTGCATAAACTTGCAAACTATTTTTCACACCCTGTAAGTTACATTTTCGAAACATGCAGTAGCCTATGTTATTCTCCTATGTCCAAAATATCTCCTTGCCAAAATTTATCAAAATTACTTAAGTGGTTTTTGCGTAGAAGCGCCACAAACAAACATACATTTGCAATTATAATATTACCTAGGATTATAACTTACTCTTTAACATAAAAGAAGTGATTACCCAATCAAGTCTCAAATCCAATTTGTCGAGCCCGGCGACATTCCGAAATGCATAAAATTTACAACAATAAAATACAATTTTCAGTCTCTCTTCATGTCTCCGCAATGCGGCACAGTCATGAAACAAACCTAGTGAACGTGTGGGCGTGCAAACTTACATCCATTATGATATAATCTTTCATGTTTCATGCTGTCTTCCACGCTCATAAAACTCGTACAATCGTTACGAGTACAATGATGATAATGAAGCGCAAAACGACTGGTCAAAAATGAAGTTGCGTCGTCGTTTCATCCACGAAGACAACACCACAACCGGTGGTTGTGTGGTGAAAGAAAAATGAAAGGTGATTTGTGTGAGATACTGATACCAATGACAGTTTTTTCGTCATTTGTCCAAAATTTACAACTATCACGAAATATGAACGAGAATCGTGTGTTGAGTTTTGATTGCTTTCTAACACACTGGACGAAACTGTCACGAAACTTCAATAAAATAACAAAGAAAACTCGCGTACAAAAAATATTCACATGTAAATATATAGAAAAACTGATTGCATTATGTTTGCAATAAATATTTTCCGCCATGAGAAAATTACCAATAATTAATTACATTTAATTATATTTTTCTTATAAAAAATAAGTCTCAGATGATTTAACTTAATAAATTTTATATAAAATCTGTTTTTGATCAAATTTCCGCTCAAAAAAAAAGAATTTGTTGCACAATTTCACGTTGTGTGTTCGTCTTGTGTTTTCACCACTAATTCTAATATTTTGTGCATTTTTACGCGCACGTAATTACTTAAGCAACATTTAATACCAACCTGCGCGGCTCCCTGGAACAAAAGTGTCAATTAGACTGCCGAAAAAACCGAACAAAGTGAGTGTATCGTAATTCGCATATCGCATATCGTGTGCCCATCATGAACGCGCACGTACACGTAATTACAAATTAGATGGCTGCGAACAACAAAACCGTCTATTAACTAACAATCGGAACGAATCCAGACAAGACACAAACTTAAATAGCTACCTACACACATTCCTTTTATACAGGATACTGCAAAAGTAAGATTTTACGCCGGGTTTTGTAATGTTTAAACACCAACCATAAAATGTTTGTAAATAAGCTCCAGTTAATTAGCGATATGCACGTTGTATTGCGCCACGTGTTAGAAGACCCTAATCTTTGAGCAAATTGTACTAATTAACAACAAACAATCAATAGTGAGTTTGTGAGGTTAGATTACAGTGGTCAATGCACATGCGCATGCGCAATAGCAAAAATTTTAATGTCTGACTAAAACATCAAAAATTTAAATTTTAGTCGGACATTAGTGAATGTTTCACATCACATATCATGATTTTTTGAAAAGCATGAAAAATTTGCTCTAAAACCTAAAATTAACCGCTGATCATATCGAATTAAATCGTTATGTAAATCTGTAACACACACGCTCACGATTCATGCGAATCTTCTTCGTGAATTTAACGCAATCGGCTGCAAAAAAATCATCAAGACTATGGAGGAAAATGTTGCAATTTTACATAAAATCTCAAATTTATAGCCGCGTTTTGAATGCATTTGTTTACATTCATTTGCCTATCTATCCGCGATGGTGCAGCCTGTTTCTCTGCATGCTGAGCGTGGGAGTTCGCGTCGCTTCTGTGCGTCTCCTGCGGTAAAAGTACTCCATTTAGATAAAGACAATGCGTTGCCAAATCTGCACGATCCGCGCCGCCATTATTTACCACCACTTTTACACACATACACACCGGCGGCTTCCTTCGCTGGATGGATGCTCGTCGGCGCAATAAAATTCTGCGTGTCGACGAGACTCCCCGCGACGCGTGCCCCGATCAACCCAAGCTATATAAACCAAATTATTTTTTCAAAGTGATTCAGTAGTGAGCAAGCAAATCTAAGCAACAACACAGCTACAGTTTGCAAAGTTTCAGTGAAATTCCAAACTTTACTTAACTTTAACAATATTTTTGTGTGGATTACAACTATTGTGGAAGAACCATGTTTAAACAGGTAAGAAATATTTAGAAACTATGTGTAAAATTAAAAACTAATTTAAAATTACCTGAAATAACGCAGTGTTGTGTGTTGTTTCTTTGTGGCACTTTCTTTTAACTCTTAAGTCTTTGAGAGTCATCTTTGTCTGTTTGTTGTTACACTTTTGTCTTATTATAATCTTTAATTAATGATTTGAATGCCGAACGTGTCGTTACGTTGGCGTCGCGAGAAACAAATGCAAATAAAAAGGGAAATGAATTGAATCGCGCGTTCCCACAATTGATTCGAGATGCTCTCTCGACGTGGTGCTGAAGCACGCCGCGTTTGCGCGTCTTCCTACGTGCGCACGCGGCTTTGTCTCGTTAGTCGGCTTCCTATTATTTCGATGGTCGAAACAAACGACGCGCAAGGAGACAATTTCCAGACTCGTTAGCGTCACTTTATTATCGCTATAAATCACAAATCATCAGGACGCATTCATTTTCCACGCGAAATCTTCATGGGTTTTAAGCGTTTAAGAGTTAAATACTGTAGTCAAGTGGTTTATTGATGGTTCAGGTAGTAAACACTCAAATATAATTTAATATGTGCAATGTATTCAAAATTATTTAACACTAGCTTTTATGTTGCAAATTATTTATTGCTGGACTAAGATCATCTGTATTTAAAAGTTGTAATATTTAAATTAGTGCAAAATTTAAAAAAACATTGATACATTCAAATATTTTGCAATTAGTGCTCAAAACAAAAACATCTTCTATTCATTTTCATCACATTTATCTTTTTTGTTGCACCTACTTACAAACTATTTTTCACACCCTGTATGTTATATTTTCGCAACATGCAGTAGCCTATGTTATTCTCCTAGGTCCAAAATATCTCCTTACCAAAATTTATCAAAATAACTTAAGTGGTTATTGCGTAGAAGCGCCACAAACAAACATAAAACACTATTTTCTTCTCATTTATAATATTAGTTGAGATTAAAGGTGTAAGTTCCGGTGTAAATAATATTTATCATATTTTTATCTTTTTTGTTTCTCGAACAAAAGTAAAAGTCGTGCAATATCCTCTCTTACGTGATGCGCGCGTGTACAAATCATAATAACAATAATGCGCAATGTGTAGCGTAATAAATCACAATTTGCTCCGATTTTTTCGCCATCTCGTCATCTTCTCGTGCATCAACTCGACCGGCTCATTTTTCCACGATATTGGTGCACTCTGCGCCAACAATGCGCCGCCATTGGAATGATGGCATGATGTGTAACACCGCATTAATTTATTAGCCATAATATGCACATTAGAGACGATTGACGTCGAATGCATCTCTCACAAAACGCCGCGAGACGAGCAACAATGAATGGAAGAAAATAAGCGAGAGTGTTTTACTCCAGTGCAATATACAAGGTGTTAATTAATATAAATCTAACAGAAATATATCTCAATTCATTAATACCCTGTATATGCTTGGAGTTGAGATAATAATTTAGGTTGGTATACCGTTACGTCTCTATTTTCCTTTAGCAGAATGAGCAATGTGCAATACGTTGTCCGGTTTAACGAATCACGACCTATGAAAATGCACTTTGTCCAAATCCACTGTTTATTTGTGAAATATGTAATCGCGGACTAGACTGCAAATCTGAAGTAATAACTAATTTTACTTTAGTGCTTTTCTCTCAACTTCCACGGAGATTATATCTGTAACAGCGTGGAATACATGGAATAATTGGCCGCATTTATGCAAAGCGCAATATACTGAGACTTAGAATATGTAATTATCTTAACTTATAACATATATGGAATTTTAGTGGATATATTAATCAACTTTTAATGCGTTTGATTCACGACTGGCAGACCACCCAAAGTGGATGTGAATTTGGTTGCATAACTTTCAGGCGTTCACCGGTAGCTACTCAAATCTAATGCAAAACACTTTTAGGTGATTTTACTTTGCACCGTATTGTGTCTCGTGGTTGGTGAACCACCAGTACCCCAATATGGTGTCCCATACAACAATGCCGGAGGCGGCGGCGGTGGTTACAACAACTACAACCAAGGCGGCGGTGCCCATGGTGTTAATAATGGTGTCGGTGCACCGATCACGAGCTACGGTGCCCCGAACTATGACAATAATCAAGGAGGACATGGCGGACACGGCGGTGGACACGGGCACGGTGATGAAGGATACGGCGAAGTAAGTATGACCACAATCACTGACCCATGACACGAGTTTACTAACCTATACTTTACGATCAGATATAATCACCTCCAGTTTTGCGTAAGTTGGTAATATGATCGCCGCTCACGACCTAAACCACATAACATGCAATAAAGTCGTGACTTCAATTTGACTTGGATATTTTTCTTTTGTAGCCCAAAGCCTATGAATTCGGCTACCAAGTAAAAGATGACTATACTGGTACCAACTACAACCGTCAGGAACAAAGTGATGGTAATCAAGTGACCGGTTCGTACCGCGTTGCACTTCCCGATGGCCGCACCCAAATTGTGACCTACTACGCTGATTGGAAGACTGGGTTCCATGCTGATGTGCGTTATGAAGGAGAAGCACAATACCCTGATCAGTACAACACTAACCAGGGATACAATTACAACCAGAATCAAAATCAGGGTTATAATAACAATCAAGGTTATAACAATCAAAACCAAGGATTTAACTACAACCAGAATCAAAATTACAACCAAAACCAACAACATTACAACGCCCCGAGTGCTCCCAGCAACCAATATGGCGCCCCTGTGAACCCGGTCGCCATTAATAACCAGTACGCGGCACTGAGCAACAGTTACGGAACGCCCAACACCGGAAGCTATGACAATTACAACCAGAATCAGAACTATCATCAGAACAACTACAACAATAACAATCAACACAACTATGACAGCTATGCGAATTCTGGTTTTGGTAACAAAGTTAAACCCACGGCTGTTTACGGCGCTCCATAAATAATCACATATTTGAATTTTTTTCTATAAATAAATATGTACATTATGTTGTAGATATATAAATAAGTTCAAAACATTTTGTATTTCGTGAGGTCTCATCTCACAGTATTAGGATTAAGTTGTGTAAAGTGTAAATTGCCATCAATTGCCAATTTGTGGAAATAAATTGAAACAAAATAATTGATTTGCTTCATATGGCCTCACTATTAACATAACTCGGTTAAAATAAGGAAAACGCGCTCGATTAACATTACTATTTAAAGGTGAGCGTAATCATTGAACTTTTCGGACGATATAAACAAATTGCAAAACGCGATTAAAATTGAGCAAGCAATTCAAGAAAATTTGTTAGCAGATGAATTAAATACGCATTTCATTGTGTCACACGGTCGGGGTAATCAACTAACATTTGTAATAATTAAGATGTCTCCATGTCTCCAAATTAGTAAATACATCAACATGGCGGAGGAGAGAATAGAAAAAATGAAGCAAGTATAAATGTAGAAGGTTTTTGTTTTTATGGTTGCATGTTGTGCAATGTATTCATTTTCATTACATTCGTTGTTAATGACAATTACAAGAGTAAATTACTCCGCAATTGTTAAGTTTAACTATTTATTCACAAACAGACTTTTACTATAGGCAACCAAACGTACTGCTAACTCTTCTGTACCACAATGCAACATAACCTTATGCACAGCGCCATCTATATTTTATTAGAGACAATTATTTCTTTTTATGCAGTTTTTGTTGTATACAACTTGTCAATTACAACTAATTACCTTTAAAATTAATTTCTGGGGATATTTTTTACAAAAAATATTTTATTTATGTTTTATCGTCACAATTACAGCTAGATTTTACAAAAAAAAAATTCAATTGTACAAAGAAACAAATTAGAACTGTCTGCCATTAAAACCGTCACATATTTTGTCCAATTGCTTTCCCGAATGAAAAAATAAATACGTCGAAATTGTTTCTGATCGCTGGAAAAACAATGCAGTCCTATAAAAACCATAAATAATAATACTATGTCGATAATCATTGTCTTAGAAACTAAATTTTTAAAATTATAATACAGTTGATTGCATATCTAGACACTTTTAAACATAGACGCGTATCAAATTCGGTTTAATATTTATATCCACCGTCCGGGGTGTACTGCTGGCCAGGAATTTGGTTGGGTCGCGCTGGCGTGCTTGGATAACCTTGAGTAGGCTGGCTGGGTCTAGCTGGTCCACTGGGGTAACCCTGAGTAGGTTGGCTTGGTCTAGCTGGTGGGGATGGGAAGCTGGGAGTTGGTTTAGGTCCACTTGGATAACCCTGAGTGGGTCCACTCGGGTATCCTTGGGTAGGTCTAGCTGGACTGCTTGGGTAACCTTGAGTGGGTTGGCTGGGTCTGGCTGGTCCACTGGGGTAACCTTGAGTGGGCTGGCTTGGCCTGGCGGGACCACTTGGGTAACCTTGAGTTGGGCCTTGTGGAGCTTGGTAGGAAGGTTGTTGGTTGCTAGGACGTCCCTGGTATGCCGGGTAAGTCGGCGTACCTTCAAATCTAACCTGTGCGTGGAAACCTGTTTTCCAATCAGCGGTGTACTTTACAATTTGAGTACGACCATCGGGAAGTTGGATTCTGTACTCGCCAGTGGTGACATCTCCATCACTAACCGCATTGTGAGAGTAATCATTACCGTACTGATCATCTTTTACAGCGTAGTTGAAGTCAAAAGGCATGCCTGGTTCATGATGGTGGTGATCCTCACCCTACAATATAAGTTATAAGGTTTTGTTTGTAAACCCTTTGAAATTACAAAACTAACCGGTGCGTGTTGACCAGCATTAGATGTAGATTGTCCAACATAGTTGGGTCCACTTGGAGGTGGTCCCTGAGGTGGTCCATACGTAGGTTTAGGAGATGGTTGTGGATTGAATGGTCTTGGTGGTTGCGGGCTAGGTAATCCAAAACTGGGCTGAGAAGGTCTCGGCGCTGGGGCACCATAAGTGGGTTGAGGTGGGGCTGGAGCACCATAAGTGGGTCTTGGTTGTGGTGGTGCAGGTGGGGCACCATATGTAGGAGTTGGTTTTGGTAAAGGAGCTGATGGTGATGGCCTAAATGGCTGTGGGGATGATGGAGGTTGGAAGGGTTGTTGTGGTTTGTTGTAATTGTAACCATTTTGTTGAGGTGGAAGGTAAGCGTTCTGCCCTGGAGCAATCGCCGCATAGGTGGTAGCCAAACAGGCGAGGGTTAACAGACATATCTTGAACAAAACAAACAGAGGTTAACAAAGGTGTTGGTTATTAAAGGAGTTATTTATTGACCAAAACGTGTTGTGTCACTATTAATAATTGTATAACAAGCATTAACGACTTGTTTCCATGTTCCGATGAATAAAATAATGAATATCGAATGGACTCCGCGCTTTTTCGTGAATAATTCAACACTTTAAACGAATTCCAAGTGGAACTTTCTTCATATGCTTCTCGTAAATCAAAAAATATAAATTTTAAAGTTTAAAGTTGATTTTTCTCATTTTAATCGTGATAAATGCATTAAACTTATTTTAAAATGGCTGCACGCACCGGGAAGTTAATTATTAGGTGTAGATGTTGAAGATCCAATCGATTGGAAACATACACCGTCGTAACGCCTCTATCTATTGATTTATCATAAGTTACGACTTTAATTTTATCGATTTTCCATGTTTATTACACCTTAGTTACTTCTACAAGCTATCAACTTTGTATATAATTTGTGTAGTGTTGGTTGCATATAGTTTACTGCTTACAAATCTAGTCGCTAGTCGTCCACGTTGAAATCTTGTGTAATTGCAGCAATAAAACGCTATGTACACGCATTGCATCACGCACGCCTTATGTTATCGTGTAGCACGTCCGTCGGGCGCATGTAAATCAGGATGCGCACTGTGCACAATCAAACTCGCATAAATAACTTACACATACACACGCGCAATGCTTTTTCGCCTCATTATGCCCCGACAAGAAATTCGTTAGCGTTCGCGGACAGTTAAAAAAATTCAGCTCGTCGTGGATTTCGTAATGCCGTAAGATTTGATGCACTCATGATGAGATCGTGCGCAGGCGAAAACTTCCTCGTTGCGCAGTATTCGTTGAATCGCGTGTTTTTCGGGTTGAATAAATTATATTTGTTAATTAAATTCCTTATTACAACGCAATTAAGCACACGCGTAACGAATATGGAATAATTTAGTGGCTAATAAATTTATCAGAATGGGAACACATTCATTACGTCAGTAATTGAAAACTGAGATGATTTTTCTGGATGGACGCAATTGAAAATTATAGAGTTTAAGGTTTAAGGTTGGGTAAAATCGCTGAGAAGTTGATATTTAAAGCACTTGAAGGCACGTGTGAGCGCGATATAGTTCACGAAAATGCAACAAAAGTGCAACCAAATGAATTGCGATTATCGTTTGAGCACGAAGATGATGATTGCCATAGGTATTCATGACTTAATCGAATACATCTTTGTAATTTATTATTATTTTGCAATATTATCAACCGATATAGTACAATAATTTATAGGAGGCCAAGTTTTTAGATAAACTTTGTAAGTTTTCATCAATAAAAGTAGTTTTAAATTAATTTTTAACTGAATTTAGTCTATGCTAGAAAAGTTGCTTACTTTATGTGTCAACTGTCAAACTATAAAGGATACAGAGCTGTCAATTATGTCAAAAGAACATAACCTCATCTAAAAATACCTTTTTTCTTCTCTAATTTTGTTTTTTCTCAAAATTATCGTTGTTTTAATAATTATTCTACTAAAAGAAACCAAGAGGAATCCAAAAATTCAAAAATTATAAAAATCGGTCCAACCGTTCATGAGTTACAAGCAAAATAACATCACTGACTTTGTTTTTAAATACAACAAGAACTATTTCTCTAAAACTAAGTAAATAAGTGAGATCAGGAACAGAATTGTGTAATCCACCTGTTTTCCACTCTGCGTTTCTAATTGGACAAGCTTCCTAACAAGCACCTGTAACCTGCATGTCATTGTCTTGAATGTCTCTATATTCCAAAGTAGATCGTCGTTAATTATCTAATCCAGCAAGAATTTTCACTGTTTTAATTAAACTGGAAACTTTTACTACAAAAACCACACACAACTTACGAGTACCTAAAGAAGTGAATAATGGCAAATATGCAAATAGTTATAATTTATCTCCGACCCAAACGATTCGTTTACCTTTTAATGACAAGGTCGCACCGTCGCGGCGGCCATTAATATTCCCCACACACTAGGTTACTGACACAATATGGAACAAGAACATCTTTGTTTACAACCTCACCTCAGTGCGCGATTTCCACATCGGCGCACACTAAATGATCTACGAAGAACAATTTACAATCAATTAAAGCAAATTCTATAATTTCCACACTTGCTGGTGTTCCGATGCATCATCATTGCCATCATTGCCATCTTTGTGCGCAATTGGCAATGCTCAAGCGTGCCTCTGCACCCATGCCTAATTGATCGTGACATTAAAAGACCGCGCATGCATTTCTTTCTTTGTTCGCGTCTAATATGTCGCGCACTGCACACAATCGCACGATAAACTAAACAACACCGCAAGAATGTGCACAGCGCGCATGCGCACTAGTGCACACATAGTTTGTGAGTCATGGTCATTGCTTAGCGCTGGTCAGCGGTCAAGCGCAATCGTTATGCAACACAACACACACACACAAATTACATTAAGTGTGTTTATTGTAGGCTATACCAAATTTAAACCTGCATGATGCAATGAAGACTTCCTTACGTCGCACGCACACCTACGACACGGTCTTATTTATAACCGCGCCGGCAAATAATCGCCTAATCAGTAATCACCAGTAATTTATTATCTATCTATGTAACAGTTTAATGTATATTTTGTAAACATTTATAACTTTCACTGCTCACACGGATTCAACTCAAACACACTTTTTTCGAAAATAATAAATTAAACGATTACATATTTGTATTTTTCTTGGTGTTACACAAAACATAATAATTAATCAATTAATTAATGTTTTAATTAAAAACCAGGCATTTGAACTTCAAGATTATATTTTTTCTTTGGGTAAATACCAGTTAGTAATAAAATGCGGTGATTTACTGCTGAATGCCTGGCTCCTATAGAGTTTTACACATTCACTGACAGTTTTATACCAGTAGAACAATCAGCACACCCGTTTTAATCAGACACCTGCCGTTTTGTAGCCTATTTTATTAACTGCTATAAAACACTGCGAGGAGAAAATTTTTTGCACTGAATATCATGAGTGCATCTTCAATAAAATATCAATTGTAATTGTTTCGTACTCGTACGTGTAATGCGGTCGCGCATCCTTCCGTCGATTGTCGATATGTTGAGATCAGTCGATACTCGAGACTCGAAAGAACAACCTTAACCTATGTGCAAGCAAACGATGCATGCAAATGTAATCACGAGTTGGATGCAATTTATTCCGAAGCAGTAAAAAGAATTTCTCAAAAAAGTTCATTTCACGGTGGATTCAGCGAATTTTTTTGAAAATGCAGTATAAAATGACTAATTAACTAAAAATGTGCTATTAAATAATTGAGTTATAACCCAAGACGTAATTTACAGCATCTCTGATAAATTTAAAATTAATTTTAAAAGTTTTAAACTTAATTATGAACGATATGAATGTCAGCAACCAAATATGCTTGATGTAGTACGGAGGGTTACATAAAGTACGATTAGCGTCAACTGCACTCGAGTTTCCCCGAATGAAAGTCGTCTCTGACCCGAACGTTACACTTCGGTGCTTCACAGACGTTCTCCCCTTGGGTAAAAAAGCGTCAAAGCGTCACTTTTCACTGCAAATATTTACGTTTTAAAATGTGCTATAAATAATTGAGATGCCAAGATGGCAAGATATTTGATGTTTATCTAAATTCGAGAAGCGCGTGTTAGCTTTAATCTTAAGTAAGCAGCGCACGATATTATATAATATTGAATAATGTGAATTCCGCGCAGAGACGACCAATCATCGCGGAATATCTTCATCCGTACTATAAGCACTATAAATCTCCTATTGGCTGGCTGGCGTTATGCAGGAAAATTTATTGCGGATTGCTCGGCAAACAGAAAGCGCGAAAAGTGCAAGCTGTCAAAAATGCGCGCGCCATTTTCGCGAATAAATGTCACACACCGAAATCGAAATTTCCTGTAGCTAATTAACCGCGAAATGTTTAAATCTACTCACTGCTATTACTTTTCTCTTTTTAGCGCAATTATATTCACTACATTAAGACTTCTGTATGCCAAGTTTAATTAATACAATTATTTCGCATGGAAAATGTATGGCGCGCGCAATTGCGGAACATGGCGAATGAATGAGTGTTGTAAGCCGGTGTGTAATTGGAAAAATAAAGTAGGTAACGTCCAAAAGGTGAAAGAAATGAAAGAAATGTCTAATGATGATAATAAAACGCGCATTGAATGAGTATAGAACGGTGGCACCAATTATTAAACAATTTATATTGAATATGAATCTATAAAAAATTAAACGAAGAAAGTTATCGATGAAAGTCTCAAATTAAAAACATTCGTAAACTTTAAATTTTCAAACATCTAGTATTAATAAGTTTAAAATACAACGTGTGAGATTTTTTTTGCTTTTCGAGAATAAATTGTGTATAATTTAAATTTAAACAAAGCAAAATTATGCAAAGTCAAAGTTAGTCAATGTTTTGTTTTTTGTAGGTCGTCAAACGCACACCTCGCATCCAAAATGATGTTATTGATACATTTTCCAATCTTGACGTTATTTAATTGTCTTGTAATTACCCGCAGCAGTTGGTTGTTTTTACTCTGATGGATGGATATTACTATTACGTACGTAATATTCATTAACTCTTTGTTTCTTCCAAGCGGGTATTGCTAAGAAGAGTTTTTGCTGCGAAATCGTATAGCACATTAAAAGAATCGCAAGAAACACAATGCAAACGAAAGGGATTGCGCTGCGATCGCAACTGATCGGAGCGTTTATTGAATTTACTTCGATACTTTAAAGCTGGCGCAATGTAAGTACTAATTGTTTGCTAATCCTCTCTTACAGGCATCGTGCAGAAGACAATAGAAAAGTAAATAAAGTAAATAGGTGTGAGGAACGCTGAAGACACGCAGCGGACGCTGATTAACTACGCGTCTCATCCGGTCAATTTCCAACTTACGAAATTTACCAAACTTAAATCACGGCTTAATTGAAATATTCGAATGATTAATGTAAAATAAAAATAAAAATAAAAGTTTTCCGGTAAATTTAGGTCAAGAGTTAAGAATTTCAATGCCTGACGATAGAAAATTATGCATGTAGAAAAAATCTGTTCCCATAAATGTAAATGCAAAATAATGTGAACCGAAATTAAGCAACCGACACCCGATTGCATAATAAATTTCTTGTGAGGTTAACTATTATTTAATTGCGCGCACATCCTTTATGTCGCTCCATAAACTCCATCTAAGGTGTAAAATGTGTAATCATTCTACTGCAATTGCACATTAAATTTTTTTTTTTCTTATTATTATTATTATTAATCTTAATTGTTACCTTTAATGTCATGTTGAAAATTGTTGATCGTTGATTATTGCTTGTAGAAAATTAAACAGACACACGAATTCCGAAAAAAAGTTTGAAATTCAAACCCGAACGTGTTCACTCGCAAGTAATCCGAATTTGAGCACCACCCGAATGCGAAAGAATGATTGCGATTGTCTATCATTGCGTTTTATACGTTCCGGCAAACAGTGGGAACGCCGCCGCGGAAGGGAAGGGAAGAAGAGCTCGCGAATGAAGAATCTCGCGTCGAGTTAAGTCAAGAGAGGACACAAACGTACAATGAAATTAAAATCAAAAGTGTATACAGTGTAACAATTTGGTTGGTGTAGTTTTTAAGTTATAAACTAATTTTTTCTGTTTAACGACGAAAAATATTCTTATTTCTAGCAATTATGGTGTAGAATATTGAAATATTGTTGTAATTATGATCCCAACATCCCTACAAATTGCAATGCAAATTTCTATTACTTAAGCACGATTTTTCAGCTAATTTGTTGGGGTGCACGTTGAGTTACTAGAAAATCATTTAAACATAACACAAGTGAATACAACTGAGCGACGCGGAATTCATATTTAGACTTCAGGAAATATTTACCGGCATTTTTACTAAAATAATTGAGTTTATAATCAGCTTAGAAAAGATTAAACAGTGCTCTATTCACGTAAAATCCATATATTTTGATATTTTTTACTCCTCGATGTAACATAACCTAGAAATAACGTAATTTATAATTTTAGTGCATAAAAAGTTGCATAACTTGCTCAGTAATATATAGAAACGAAGTTTTTTGATAAAATAATTCGTAAAACATCTAAATTTTAACTTAAAACACAAATAAACAACTGAGCGAAGCGGAATTCGTATTTAGACTTCAGGAAATATTTCCTGGCATTTTTACTAAAGTAATTGAGTTTATAACCAGCTTAAAAATGATTAAACAGATCCAATTCGTGTAAATTCGCAATTTTTTATTATTTTTTCTGTTTTTTTGATGAAATATCACCTCTCTATAACGAGTTAAAATGTGCTTTTACTATAAAACCATTGAAACCTATCAGTTTCAAGTTAATTAAGCAATAAATCAAACACCTAATTACCCACTAACCGGGCGCTTGTTAAAGTAACATTACCACAATAATATTTACTCAGGAATTGGTAGCCGGACAGCCGGCAGCTACCGACCAAAGCAAACACAAAAGCATGGCATTTTTCCACGTGAGCGCGCGCGTGCTTGCGCATTCATCGATGTGCGGTTGTCATCATCAGCCGAACGAGTCTTTAAATTCGTTAATGAGGCGTGTAAAATGTGGCGGGCGTGCGTGTCACGCAGCACGAGAGGTGTCAACTCGCTAAATACTTGTCGAACACGTCGTTAAAATTTTATTGTTATGCTTCATTTTGAATGTTTCCACACAACACTACTCGGAAGCCGGATATTCGTCCATTCACATTTCTTCATCGGTTGAATAACTGGAAATGTTTTAACATTATGATTGTTTTTGCTTCGTCGTTAAATTTGAATGTGTCACCGGTGCATTTTATTCAGCACATTAGAATGATTTACACACTTGAAAAGAGTTTTGTTTTAAATGTGAATAAAATATGAGCGTAAAATGTTGTTTTACGCTTCATGCCGAAAGCCGAAATTACAATAAATGCTAATTTATGTTTCTATTCATTCAAGCATTAGGAAATTAAGAAATAAAATAAAACATTGATAAACTTTAACACTAGCTTTTTTACGAGTATTGCTTGACTGGAATCATCTGTATTTTAAAATTGTTTTATTCTAACTTGTGAAAAATTTGAAAAACATTGATAAAATCAAATATATAGCAATTAGAGCACAAAATCGAAGCATATTCTTGGATGTTACTCTATAATCCCTACTAATATTATAAATGCGATAGTCCTGATGTTTGTTACACTTTCACGCAAAAACTACTTAACCGATCATCATGAAAATTTGTACACATATTCTTACTGGTCCCCGAATGGTTATAGGCTACTTTTTATTTATTAAAAAATAATTTTTTAATTAAAATAAAGAAATTGTTTAGCCAATAATATCTCTGCATCTGGCTATTTGACTACTTTAACGCCATCTAGCATTCCAGCAATGAAGCTCAAACCTAAGTACTATAGTACCATCACACTGTATTATCACACTGTATTACCGACAGCTACGTCAACATCAAATCCAATTGACTACACTATGGAGACTGTACACTATACTTCCATAGACTATACTTTCAGCCATTTTAAACTTCCCGCCATTCTACTTCATTGTTACTTCTTCTGTGACTACAGACGCGTACGGAAGCAACTTCAATATTTTAGATATTCGCGAGCCAAGCCGCGGGTTAAAGCTAGTATTATATATATTAAACTGTCAACACTCTGTAACATATGACATATGACAGCGCCATCTATTAGAAAACGGCTAAATTGTATTTTTAAAATTTAAATAAAAACAAAAATCGCGATAAATCATTGATTTATTTCTTTATTTTATATGTGTAATATTCAATACCTAAATACAGACGGTCATCTTCAATCGGCATTTTCATCACATTTTTTGCTTGCGTCAACGTAATTTATTTTTTTCGTTGTACAAACTTGCAAACTATTTTTCACACCCTGTAAGTTATATTTTTACAACAAACAGTAGCCTATGTTATTCTCCTAGGTCTAAAATATCTCTTAACCAAAATTTATCAAAATTACTTAAGTGATTTTTGCATAGCAGCGTCACAAACAAACAATTTATAATATTAATTAAGATTTACGTGATTTAAGTCCTCTTACAAGACCATAGACACTAAATACAGAAAATTACATATTGTGTTCAAGTACCACCACCAGCAAGATGCAACAAATTATGTCTCAATGAACGTCTAAAATTGCTAACTACATTAACGCATGAAAAACACAACACGCGGCTGTGTGTGTCTATTGAAGATGTTGCGAGCCATCGCGAGCAGTAATAATGACAGCCGTGCAAGAAAGCAACACTTTTAAAATATCAAGGGCGAAATATAATATAGTCGAACGACGTCGATCGCGCAGAAAACAAAGTGCTGATGCTGTGGTCCAACCTCCATCCTCAGTCTCAGTCATTGTCGATCTTGCCGAAGAATGTGAACATGAACAGTGCAGATAAACGAGCACAGTACTTTTAGTATTGTAAATGTTGGAAAATATTATTTTGCACAAAACAACAAGGAACGGCTAAAGAGAATTCTTCTTAAGTCATCTTAAGTCATCTTAAAATATTGAATTTAAATTTAATTTATTTTTGACATTGACATATGAATTCACGCGTGATATTTGCGTCAATAGATAATTAATAAACTAATATTTATCCTAAACTTTTTATATAATTAGTTGCTTATTTCTACTCTTAATTGAATTTATTTTAAACTTCAAGATGAGTCGCTTTTTGCGCCGTTTCCTGCGTCTGTTGCCTTCAAAACTGCCAATTTTAAAAATCAACCTCAACGAATGTTTAAATTGAACAGCGTTTAAGGTGTTTCTAAATGGTGCGCAACGTGCAATTATCTGTCGGCCTATCAACTCGAAACTATCAATTATTTATCATTGTATAACATTACATCACAGTCTTCAATATTAATTTAGATAAATGTAAAAGTTACTGCAGGATTTGGAGTGAAAATTGTTTTCGACCAAATTCGTGGCGAACGCAACGAAAGGAAAAAAAAGTCGTGAATTTCTGTTATAGCTTTAGGTAATAGGTTATTCTAACCAGGTAATTAACAAACAATAAAATAGGAAAATTAATTATATTAAGGCAATGAAAAGAAGATCAGCGTGTTAGGAGTCGTGTTTGAGATGCTATTAGACGAAGAAGAAGAAGACTTTTGGACCATGTGGATGAAGCAATAAATAATGAGCGGACTGGAATTATTAACGACTTTGTGGCAATACGCTCGTAATTTTTGTCTTACGTCATTTGCTATCACTTAAAATTTAGGAAAAAATATTAAATTGAATTATGCTGACAAAAAATTAAAAATCAAAGTTGAAAATCAAAGGATTTGACATAAAAAACATTTTTAGTTTTCAAAAATGTAAAAAAATCAATTTTTTAAAATTTTGCAAAAAAATTTCAAAAATTTTAATTTTTTGAGAAAAAAATGCTTCACATTATTCTTTGAACCGAGAAACAAAGGTTGGCGATTGAATTTGATGTGTTTGAAATGTCCTCGTTAGGAAATTTGTATTGGAATGCAGTTGTGATATGAATGTGCTTCGGTAACTCGCAGGAAGCTGATGCAGTCAAGTCTCTGAACGCCATCGATGAACAAATAGTCTGAGTGCGACGATCTCGTAAACATTAAACCCATCCACGAGAATCACAGGCTCTCACTTTTACTTTCAGTTACCAGGCCCCAGAAACAATCGCAAATTGTTAGTCAAATACAACAAATGTAACATTTACGGTTGGTATTTTAGGTAATAATTACGAAAGTAAGCAGAATTATACCTTGAGTCTACAAGCATACATATGCAACCTGCTTCTTAATTTTATCATCGAAAACGCGCTAAATCCTAATTTGAAAAAAATCCTGATTGAAGTTATAAGCTTGCTAGATCTGCAATTATTGAAAATTAAATCTAACTGAAAGGTTAGTTTGAATTCCAGGCGCAGATTAGTTTAATTGCAATTGTGGGCGCTTCTGCTTGAATTAAGTAGTTGAAACTAAAGTCTTGGTTCATTTATTGTTTAAGTAATGTTAATATTAACTTGTAAATATTACCTATAAACGTTTTACAACTAGTTGTCACGGGATAACTTGATACTTTGATGACTCTTGGTGTAGTGTTGGGTTGCCTACTTTCAGAGTTTCATGCTGTCATGCCGTTCCATTATTAACCTTATCAAAAAATACTTTTTTATTTTTAATTATTACCATCAATACGCATAATCGTTTGTTAATTAACAATTAATTGATGTGCATGGACAAGGAAGTTGTTTGCGGTGACGAAATCAAATCAATAATAATAAGAGAGGGTTTTGAAGTTATTTATTTTGAAATTAACTTTAATTTTGAGTTGATTTTTGGGCGCAGAAAGGCTTAAAGTGGAATTATGATTGATTTGTGCGTTTCTGCAAAAAATGTTAAGCAAAATCAACGATTTTTGCTTCAATTTAAGTTTTAAAAATGTAGTTTAGTCGTTTTCTAATAGATGGCGCTTTAATATGT